GGCTCAAATGGGCGCAATCATCCTCCAACTACTTCCGGTCTGCTTTGTTTTTTTACACTGTAGTAGGGTGCAGTTGCAGATCATGTGACACATTTGATGTGGAAAAAGTATTTGCTTTGCAGTTTGATTGCAGTATGACTGTGAAACCACCTCTTTGAAACATTTTTTAAAAATAAAATGACGTGAGTTTTTCCAAAATTGCATTGTTTCCATTTAGGAATTTTTTTTCGTTATAACTTCTTGCACCATTTGATGGTTAATGGAAATGCACCTTGTGACACCTAGCGTTTCAAATCGGAACAATATACGCACCCCTTCTCCCATTTAGAGGTAACCAGGTCAAGAGTGACAAAGACATCGAGCAACTAAGATCAACAGAACCGGAGGAGTCGATTCAGCTCCAGAAAGTTGTACAAACATTTTTGAAGAATTTTAAAGCTTCTTGGGTATTGCTGAAATGGTTTCAGGTCTGCTTTTGCCACTGGCTTTAACGTTTACATACATTATTTGCCAACATAAAACAGCAAATGATGCACTGCAAAAATGATCAAGTAATGAGTAGAAATCTCTTTAATTAAGTGTATTTACCCATAATTTAAGTAGATAAATAAGATGATCTGCCAAAGAAATTAGTATTTTTTCTTTTAAAATAAGATAATTAGAAAATATGGACTTGAAATAAGACAATGCAATTCTTTTTTTTCTTATTTTAAATGTAAATTGTCTTGTTCCATTGGATAAGTGTCTCAATAACCTCCTTAATAAAAAAAAGAATTACTTATTTTAAGTAAAAATTACTGTAGATTTACATTTTTGGCAGTGTTCACCCTGTTTTGGCAGTCCTGGGAACACTGATATGATTGGATCAGGAACCAGGAAGTAAACACAGGCTACATCCTGCACCGTAGCATGTTCATACTTTACTTTTAGGTCTAAATGTGATTCTATTAAAACACTGTTAATAGAGAGGACCAGTTTAGTACAGAGAATGTTACTGCCTTCCAGGCAAACACATGACATCGACTTTTGTCACTTCAGAGTGAATGTATGACTTATTGCTCCTTTAATTCCAGCTGTATGCCTCTCCATCTTCCCTCTACAGTTTTCCTATACTGTCTAAGAGGAACTGTTCCTTCCGTCCAACAGACATTAGGGTTGGAGGAGGTCTCTTAAATCCTCTGCTCAGACTAGGGGAGCTGCTGTTCATGTGGTGGACACTAGTGTTCAGACCTGTTTCTGACTCCTTGTTCTGTTCAGTTTCTTTTCTCTCACTGCTGTGTTTAGATCTTTGTGACTTCAGACTCAGATGACTTTCCTGCAGGAGGTGATGTTAGATTCAACTGTTCTGATCTAGTTTTTTATTAACAAAACTCTCTCTGCTCGCTCTCACTAAAATGGATCAGTGGGAGTTTGCTGCTGCCTTCTCATCCAAAACTCTCCCAACCATTCAGCAAATCGGTCTCCAGGCTGCATCAAACAGCGTAAATCTGTTCAACACACCGAGGCTTATTTCTTTGACTTATTAAAGCTTCAGATGTGGCTGAATGTGAGCAGCTGAGGAGAGTAAAGTCTGAGTAAAGCAAAGAGATAACAGGTAAACACTCTGCTTTCTGGATTCTGATTCAGTCTCAGATATTCTGCTGCCTCAGGCTTCTGCTCCCATATTCACTGAGTCACCAGCTGCTGCTGAAGCAGCCAGAATCTTTCAGATCCTCCAACAAAGCAGAGCAAATTCAGCTCAGTCCTGCCTGGAAACACAGACATCTGCAGGTACAACGACAAACCGCTTTCAGTCGACTAGACTGATGTGATTTGCTGGCTTCCTGGGGGCAGCTTCAACTGAAAAGCTGCTTTTATAATTAAATTAAACAACAAAACAAAAACATGTGCATAGTTATTTGGAAATGGACCCAAATTGGTCTATTTAGTACAAATCTGCAATCAACCTGTTGAGGTTCTGGTGACAGTAGATGCCTTTTTATGGAAAGCTTCATGCCTTTAATGTCAGTTTCTGTTGTATGGGGATGTTTGTTTCTTGTTTTATTAAGTCTGGTCTTCTAAGTATCTGCTGGTCACTTTTAATCCAAAGCCAAGGACATATTGAACATCTGTAGTGAAGATAAAGCCAAACTTTCTTTTTTCTTTGCTTGTTTTTTTTGACTTCGGTCTACATAGCAAATTGTCCCTTGTGGATGATGATGCCTACCTTTGACCTCATGTGACCTTATGTGAAGTCAAAGACAGATCAGGTTAAGCTCATTAAAGCTTCCTGAACATTAAAGCTGCAGAGGTGCTCCCCCTGCTGGGCAGAGCACAGAAAGTTAAAGACAGAAGCCCAGTTGGGTCAAATCAAACCGTTTTTTTTGTAGTGCTTAGAGGAAGAAAACTAAAGGCTCTCTGTTCTGATTTGTCCAACAAGCTTTCTGCTGAAACAAATGGTCTTATGTTGCTTTCATGGGATGTTCCTCAGCCTTCCCAGAGGAGAGAACATGAGACCATCAAAACTATTTGGTCCAGTTTCCTATTGTCGAATGAGATGAAAGCTGAGAGAAAAAAAAAAAAAAAAAAAGCTGAGACTTTGGAGCTGCATTCAGATATGTCCAAATGAACTATAATAAATACACATACACTAATTCAGAGCTTCTGACCCATTCCGAGACTCTGCAGCAGCACTTTAATCAGCAGTGGCTGGGGGAAAAGGGGAAGTTCGAGTTTTTTACTCTGTGAAGAAGTTCACAGCGTCCAGAAAAACTGAAAGAACTCTTTTAGGGGTTAAAACAGAAAGTTTCCTCCTTTAAACTCTTTAGCTTTTGTTCTACTACTGAATTTCCAGACTTTCTGTGATGACTGGGGTTTCTAACACTTGAGCTAAAAGCATAAATTCTGATGTGAAACTACTTGGCCTGGTTTGTATCTATCAGGAAACACGTCAGAACAAAAAAGCAGTAGGATGCTAAATAGGTTTAAGTGGAGGAAAAGGGAGCAGAGAGTGAAACTAAAACCATCAAGTAAAGGCCAATTTATGCTTCTGATGCATAGCCTCTGCAACCGTCAAATCTGTCTCTGTGCAGAGGTTCTGCAACTGTTGTCGCGCACCTCAAAAAAATCTTGACTACGATCGCAAACTCGTGCAGACCTCAAGCGGAAGTGCACAGACAAAAAGCAGCTGTGATTGTTCCTTGGTATGTCCTGCCGGCTGTCTGTGTGGTTGTCCTTCTCGATTCGATGCCGTGGCGCGCCATCTTTAAAAACCGAGGAACAACTACAATTGTCAACTACGACGAAAGGTTAATTGGTCTTTTTGCCAACTCCATTAACAGAACCTGTTCCTCTTCGATGTCTAGCAAATCTAGATCCATCTCTGTGACCGTTATATCTTTCAGACAAGCTATTGTTGTTTTGGAAGATAAACACTCCCTCTGGTGTCACCAAAGTTCTTGCGAGTTCTCAATTAGACTCCCCCTTGTTCTTGGGCAGGAAACTGCTGTACGTCCCTAGAAATTCCAGACCAACAGCGCAGAAGGATACCAGCAAAACTGGTTCGCGAACAGACCCAAGCGCCATTAGATGTGTGCAGTTGCAGAAGTGATGAGCAACATGAGTAACTAAGCACTGAGTTAGAAACCAGTTTAAGCCTGTTTAAATTGCTATGTAAAAACTTTGAACCAGAATCACCCATGAAACCTATAGAACTCAGAATGTTGCTACAGAAACAGAGACAATTGTTCTGTAAAAAAAGTAATACTCAAAACATTTAGCATACTAGACCATCTTTATGATTGCAAGTCCATCCACAAGGCACTTCCTGACCTCCACTTGGTCCACTGTCAGGAGATCAGGTAACTGCCTGATAAAAGCATCAACCTTGCCCTCTGGTGGCTTTGGATATATTGGTTGCTTAAATGAATTAGGATGTATTTACACCTGACATATTTTGATTCACTTTGAAAGGAAATTGTTTCCCACCTTGATCCAAACCTTTTGTTTTGGTGTGAATATGTAAGTCTGCTATTAATCCAGACCAAAAAAAAAAAAAAAAAAACAGAACAAAGGACCTTTCTGGTGTGCGTACAATGGGACAAGATAAGGGTTCATAAAAATCTATACATAAGTGTCTGAATTTGTACGTGTAGTCAATAAATGTGAATACATTTAAAATTACCATTTGTTCCTTGTCATCAACTTGCTCATTTATGACATCAGATGTTTCATATCGGAAAATACTAGTTTAGCAGTAACAAATAGAAGGTATAGAGTTACAACTTTTGCAAAAGTACAAGAACGAATCTCAAATTTACGAATACAACTAGTATTAAAGAAGAAGAAGAAAACAAAAGATGAAAACTGCCCCAATAATCAGATGTTGTAATGTGCCTGGAGCGAAAGTAACATTTCAGTAAAGAAATCACATTGTGTTTACAAAATGCACCTACGCATTTCTTTCCATCTCTTATTCTATCTGATGGAAAACAACTTTAAATCCTGGTCGTTGTGTTCTGTTTGAACCACATGAGGTTCTGTGTGTTCCAAATATATTTGCTTCACTTGAAGAGAATAAATAAAAAATTATTTCCATCCGGACAGAAAGTCGGGAATGTTGTCGAAAGATGACACATTAAACCAGCACTAGGCAGTAACATTGATTTAAGGCCAAACCTGAACATAAAAAGATGGAGATCCTAAGTATAAGCTGGGATTCACTCCTACCCTGTGCTTTATTTCATCTTATTAACACCTAAGCAGTGCACATGGAACTCGATTAGTTATTTAAGCAGAGTTAGTGTCCTGCCTTTTTGACCAAAGGGCTGGGGCCTCCAAAAGACAAAATTTATCTATAGGAAAATCATTTTTATCAGGAGGGTCATACAAACATAAACATAATCCAAACATGGTTTGGTGTTAGAGTCTTGAACAAGAGCTCTTTTACTTAGCTAGAGCTCAGAGGTCTATGGATGTAGAGCCACTGATGGAAGCTTTCTGAGATATAAAGAGGGTCCTACCTTCTCTGCAGACTGAGCCGTGCCGAAGAAGATGGGGATGAAGGCCAGCCACACAATGCAGGTGGTGTACATAGTAAAGCCAATGGGTTTGGCTTCATTAAAGTTCTCTGGGACCCCACGGGTCTTTATGGCGTAAACAGTACATGTCACCATCAGTAAGATGCTGTAACCCAAAGAGCAGATGATCTGTAGATCCGTAATATCACATTTCAACACCCCTCGAGCCTGGTTGGGGTTTGTGGTCCTCTGCTCATCAAAGTCTATGATGATGTTGGGTGGATCCACCCCGAACCAGATCAGCACCCCCAGTAGCTGCACAGAGATTAGGCTGAAGGTGATGACCAGCTGGGAGGTGGGGCTGATCATCCTCGGTGCCGTCACAGACTGCTTGCCCTGCTCAAAGATCCGATAGATGCGGTTGGTCTTTGTGAGCAGGGCTGCGTAGCTAATGCACATTCCTAGACCCAAGAAAATCCTGCGGAATGCGCAAACGCCAACATCAGGTTTAGCAATCATCAGGAACGTGATAATGTAGCACAGGAATATTCCAGTCAGGAGAACGTAGCTCAGCTCCCTGCCAGATGCCCGGACAATTGGAGTGTCATTGTAGCGTATGAAGGTTGCCATGACGAAGATGGTGGCAATGATCCCCAACATGGCCAGAAAAACTGGGATCACTGCCCAAGGGGAATGCCATTCCAGCTTTATGATGGGTATGGGTTGACAGGAGGTCCGGTTCATGCTGGGCCTCATGTTATAGGCGCACAGCTTGCAGCTGAACTCGTCAGATTGGTACTGGTACCCATCGCAGGGCTCGCAGTGCCAGCAGCAGGGCATCCCCTTCACCACCTTCTTCCTCTCTCCGGCTCTGCAGGGGAGGCTGCACACAGAGCTGGGAATCTCCAGCTCGCCCCGAGGCCACTGTAGTTCCTCCATCTGAAAGAAACAACAGGAGTTCAGAGATCATCAGAAATAAATTTTTTCTTGCTCATATGTTCTGGGTGTTAGGCGCCATATTTCAGGGCAAACTGTAGGAACTTCTTATTGAAGAAAGAGAATTGTGGTAAGAGAGAAATACACTTCTAGCTGTACCCCAAACCCAGGGTGGCTAATGTCTGGCTTTTTGACGATACCTTCCCCAAAGAAATTGGATTAATGTCTGCAGGCAAAGGCGGTTTGAACCAGAAAAGTTTGGGAGTTGTTTGAAGACCATTGGGCAAAATAAAATCTTTATCACAACCCTTGATGAGGTTTGTTGACAAAGTAACCTGGCTGTATAGGAGGTAGGACATCTACGTGAAGGACTTTAACTGAGGGACTCAATCCCCTGCCTCAGATTCATGCCTGCAACTCTGAAGCACAAGTCCTAAATGATCTGACAGTCTGGCTGCAGGTAATGACTTCTGGGTTCTCTTTTAGAGGAGCATTTATATGGAGGGGGTCCTCCTATGATGTTAGGTCTGGTTCATTTTGTCCATCCAATCAGATAAAATGAAAAGTTTGACTGCAAAAGATGGAATTATAAAACATCGTGAATATTTACAAACAGGCCAGAGAAACTGACAGATGTTTTATTTTTTGTATGTTATTATATCTATTTGATGCTGATGGTTCTAGATTGTAGCAAGATTCTGTCTCCATCCATCCATCCATCCATCCATCCATCCATCCATCCATCCATCCATCCATCCATCCATCCATCCATCCATCCATCCACAGAAAGCCCTGCAGTAAAAGCAGCTTCATCAATGCAAGCAGACTGACCTGAGGTGAGATTTAAAGAGTATCTTCGTCGTAGCCTCTGCTGTCAGCTGATCAATAATTCAGCTGGCTGTTTCAGAGAGTTTCCCAGCAGCTGAACTGATCCTGACAAGACGTCTCTGTGTTAAAAATCCATAAGGGTCCACAGAGAATCCAACATGTCCCCTGATCTCTATAGCTGAGGATAATCTCACAGCCCTTCAGCTGGTGATTAAGGCTCAGGGTTCAGAGACGGCCTGTCTCTGAGGGATGAAATGAGACATAAGCTGCTCTGCAGGTCGGACACCTGAACTGCAGAACCACCATCAGCACATGGATGGTACAAAATGGCATATAAAGCTGCTCTGCTACAGACCCAGAGACCCTGAGTAAGACGCAGAGGGGAAGATGTTTTCATTGGCATTCAAACAACATCACAGAGAAATCTGACATGTTCCTCCAGTCGAGAAATCATTGAGGCTGTTTCTCTGGGCTCCTCAGAATTAAAGACTGTCTATGGTTAAATCAGCAGAAGACATCTTGTCTGTGGCGGATGGGCAGCATCCACCCATTAACTTTAATGTCTTTGACACTGAAACATCCAACAAATAAGGGGAGAAATCAGAGGTTCCCGTGTCAGAGGCCTCCTCCCCCTTCCTCTCCTCCTCTTCCTCCTCATCATTGTCTTATCAGCACTAAGCAGGAGGTTGTTTCTAATCTATGTCTTTGATAAACTCTGATGTCACAGTTGCCAGAAGGTCATGTGATCATCTGAAACAAACCAGGAGGTGAGTCACAAAGGAAGACCAGAGCTGCTTCTGATGATAAGAGCTGGTTCTGTCCGAAGGACCACCTGCTTGGTTCCTCAGATATAACAGTTCAGTCTGTGGAAAATATTCCTCCATCATAACAAATCAGGAGAGGGTAGCAGGTTGGAGGTTGTACCTATTTCTGCTGCCTTTAGGGGGCGCCACTCTGTTAGCTCCATGTTTGGAGCAACTCTTATTCCATTTGGAATGATTTTTGTTCCTTTAATGTTGCAAGAAAAGAAAAAATCTTTTGCAAATCGAAATTAAAATATAAAATCTAGAAATGAAACTTTAATTAAGGTCATGATTTAAAGGAATGTTTTTAACTTTAACTTTGTTGATTTCTTAAAATCAAAGAAATCAACAAATTTGTTTTTCATATTTTATCTTGTTTTTCAAATTTGTTGTTAACAGATTCAATATTTAGACATTTTATTTGTTCAAATTTCAGTTTTTCAGATTTTTACAAATTGCCTTCTCTTTAAACTGCGTTTTAAAGATCACACTCTCCTAACTGAGATCAATAGAAATGCATCTTTGCTCCTCAATCCAGAGGAAAGCCTGCAAGAAAAGAGACATTGAAAAAAAAAAAGAAAATTTAAAATGCAAAAAAAATAAATAACAATTAAAGAACAAAATTCACTCCAAGGATTCTTGGTTCTACTCTCTGAGTTGATGGTAATTTTCTTTTATTTATGTCTGACTCCTCAAAGGTGGGTAGCTGCACTCTCTGTCATGTTGTTCAGAACCTTCAGGGTCCAAATGGAATCTCTGCAGAACAGCTTTAGTAGTCCAGCAACTCCTATTTGGGAATCAGGAGCTCCATCTACCCTTTTCCTGAGGAGAAGCTGATTGCCTTTCATCCAAATTTTAACTAAATACAGTTATAAACTTTGACTGAAAAAGACAAAAAAGCACGGCTGAGTATTTGATGCTGCAAATCATTATTTCAATAACTTATTAACAAGAGATGAGACGGTCCAGGAAAACTGGAGGAGCTGAAGCTTCATCCTGAATATTCTGGGACCAAAGATCTCCATCTGACAGAAGATCCAGAGAGGAGAAGCGTACCTGTTGTTTCTCCAGAGATCAAGGTCAGATTTCATTAGGGATGCTGAGATGCTCCCAGGCACTAAGGACGAGACGCATAAGATCTCCGATTAGAGCGACGCCAGCGTGTCCTGCACCGCCCGTCTCTGATTATTGCTCCATCTGGGAGACGTGCAGGATGGAAGAGATAAGCGGTAGTCTCGATGTGTCGCTGATTGTTCTGTCCTGGTTCTGATCCTTCAGAAGTTAAGGCATGAAATGTACTCAAACAGAAACAAGATAAGGAATAACAGCAGCCGGCTGTAATGCTGCTGACTCCTTTCAAGATATCTGGTTGCATACATTTATCAGTTTTACCCACAGAAACCATTTCAAGTTAGAGACACTAAATAAATTACTGACATTTTTCATCAGACAGACAAAAAGTTAATAATCCTTCAGACACTCTTCTCTTCATCATAATCAGTATAACGGCACATCCTCAGACCAATGCAGGAACAGCTGCTTTCAGCAGGAAGCTCCAGAAGAAACCATCAACACATCCTTACTTTAAACAACCGGCTGGGAACAACGATGCATCTGGACACTTCAGAGAACACCAACATTTCCCACTTAAACTGCCCTCATTACGATCATCTACTGGGTGTTTAAGGGTTCGGATCTTTTCCCAGTGCATTATGATTTAAGCGATTACCGACATTTGGTTCTTTAAGTTCTTTCTTGGATCCCAAGCTGCTGATTCTCTTTTGGTACTCTTGATACCACTGTACTAAAAGTTATTGGATATCGGCTGACTCTCAGTTTATAACTGATAATGATGCTCTTCTTGTTTGTCTGGAAACATATCCAAGAATACTTATTTGGAGCTTCATGGATCCCATCATCTAGACATCCCTAAATATAAGAACCCAGAGTATTGCAGTAAAGGCTTCTAGAAAACTTCATGTCCAGTTGCCTAAACAAGGGGACTTCAACGTTTTCCAGGCCAAGGACCCCCAAACTGATCGCGAGATGGAACAGGGATGCCCTAATTATATATATTGGATGAAATTGTGTTATATCAAACTGGTCCTATAGTCACTCTATTACAGATGGAATAATGTAACGAAAGTAACTTTGCCCTTGACTGTTAAAGTATTTCCGATTTGAAATCTTCGTTGATGGGTCAAGTGTTGTGAATGAAATGGTGCCCAGCTTGAAAGAGCTCCTGTGTGTCGTTGAATGTGAGCATTGATGACTGAAGGACATCTGTTTATCTGTTTACTACAGTGTGTTGAATTCAAGTTAATGTGTATTTAAAGAAATTTCAATTAGTGGAAGAAATTGCAAGGGGAAATATAAAAATAAAAGTCTAATGAACCAAACCTTTTGCAACCCCCATGCAGTACCTCTGTGGAACCCCTAGGGGTCACGGACCCCCTGTTGAAGACATCTGGCCTAATTTCTATCAAGCTCCATTCAACCACCTTCTCTTCCACTTATCCAAGATCAATTGGTTCAGAAAGAAAATCCAACTGAAGCTCTCCTTAGCCTCTTTCTTTACTCCATTCTGGTGGAAATATATAAATGAAGGAGTCTCAAAGGGTAAGATCTCACCTCACCTAGCTCCGTTAGATGCTGAAGAGCTGTTCTGAACCTCCTTCATATCTCCTCTCCGTACCTCTATGGTGAACCCAGCCTCCCTGCAGAGGTGGATCTTTTCAGATGTTTAGGAGCTTTTGTTTGCTTGTTTGTGAAGATTCACATTGGATCCAGACTAATGGATCCAGTCTGAAGCTGGGAGCGAGATGGAGAGGGCTCTCCAGCCTGCAGATGAAAGGAAGCCTGTTTCCTTAGAAAGGTTCCTCACAGCTGATGTTAGATGAGAGAAAGTCAGATTTTCACAGCTTCACCTTGGATGTAGGTCTTCCATGAGGCTGGCTGGATTAAGATGACACATATCAGTACCCTGCTCCACTCTATAAAATCTCCTTTCTCCTCAGGTGGTTCTGGTTTTACGTGGGCTGTCATCCACTTCTGATTGCTTTTCTGGCTCGAAACACAGTGTTCTGGATGACTAATCCAAGCCACACTACAGGTTTTTCTAACTGTCATGATCTGCTAAGCCTCTTATATATCAGGGAAGTTTCTGTACCTCCACCATCCTATCCAGTCATGTTGGGGTAAAGAATGAAAAGTTTTCTGACATAAGGTGCTTCCAAATACATCAATATCTAGCTCCTAACTCCTGTTTCTATCCCTTTATCTTGGATGAAGAACTTTTATGATCTCAGTGACCAATGGCAGGTAGCTGAGGTCGATTCTGACGTTCCAGTGGTGTCTAGATTTATTGTGAAG